TCTGAGATGAGACATCAAGAATCTAAGCTTCATTAAGTCCTGAAACCAGGTGTGTGATCTCAGTTGGAAGACTGTGGTTTTTTTTTTTTTTTCGCGTTACACGGGCCTCTCACTGTTGTGGCCCCTCCCGTTGCGGAGCACAGGCTCCGGACGCGCAGGCTCAGCGGCCATGGCTCACGGGCGCAGCCGCTCCGCGGCATGTGGGATCTTCCCGGACCGGGGCACGAACCCGCGTCCCCTGCAACGGCAGGCAAACTCTCAACCACTGCGCCACCAGGGAAGCCCAAGACTGTGGGTTTTGGCCGCGTTCGAGTCCCAGCCTCGTGGGTTCAAGTCCCAATCTGAGGTGCACGGTTTCACTTCCTGGGTCATCTTAGTTCTCTGCATCCTCCATGCCTCAAACAGAACCCGGCTGACTGTCAGTTCTTGTTTGCTGCTTGAAGGAAGGAATGAATGCCTGTGGGCTGGGGTAGAAGGGACAAAGGGATCAGTAGACCTGGGTTCAAATTTCTGCTCTTGGGGCTTCCCTGGTGGTGCAGTGGTTAAGAATCTGCCTGCCAATGCAGGGGACACGGGTTCAAGCCCTGATCAGGGAAGATCTCACATGCCACGGAGCAACTAAGCCCATGCGCCACAACTACTAAGCCTGCACTCTAGAGCCCGCACACCACAACTACTGAGCCCACGTGCCACAACTACTGAAGCCCGCACACCTAGAGCCCGTGCTCCACAAGAGAGGCCACTGCAATGAGAAACCCATGCACCATGACGAAGAGTAGCCCCTGCTCGTCGCCACTAGAGAAGGCCCACGTGCACGAACGAAGACCCAACGAAGCCAGAAATAAATTAAAAAATAAATTAATTTTAAAAAAATTTCTGCTTTTCACCTACTGACCTTGGGCAAGTCATTTAGCTTATCTGAGCCTCAGTTTCTTTGTGAAATGGGAAGCCCAGGGCCTACCTCCCTGGATTGCTCTCAGGCTCAATGAGCTGCTGTGTACAAAGTAGTGACACAGTGGCTGGCGCCTGCATAAAGGCTCAGTAAACTGATAAGAACTTTTTCTGAGTCTCTGCACATCCCCACATGTCCGCTTGCTGCGACTCGACTTACCCTTTCAGGATTCCATCTCTCCGGAACCTCCCAGATCCTATCCAGCTCCCAAACCACTCAAGTCTCAGCCTGGCCGTCAAAGGATCAGGCATAAAGACAGAAAGCTGCCCATCTTCACCCTGAAGGAAACTGGAGGCCAATTCTTCTGTCCTCTATGGGGTCCTTGCCTCCTTCTCCATCCTTCATCTTGACTGGCCAAAAAGGACATCCCAGAGCACAACCCAAGCTGGAAGTTTCTGGAATTCATGGGAAAAAGCTCCACACTAGTTAGGGGAGAATTCCCAAGGCCTGGGTGCCCCACACTCCCAGCCTGTCTGCTCCCTCGAAAAGGGTCCGGGTACCTCCTATTTTCCCAGCCAGGAGGCCTGCCAGTTCCCACATTACCACATGAATGGGCCACAAGGCGCCCTGTCCACTCGAGCAAACAATTTGGCTAGCAAATTGACATAATTAGGAGAGACAGAGAGGGAAGAAAGCCGCCGGGCTCCCACAGCAGCCCGCGGGCAGCTCCTGCCGAGCTCCTCCTGGGCTTTGTGGGCCTGGTGCTCAGGGCTGATTAGAAACCTTGTGGCCTTTTCAAGAGCCCTAAGTGATTGGCCCCCTTAATCTGATTACAACTTGCAGAGCCCCTCCAGCCGCCTCTGAAGGGCCGTTCTCAAGCATCCTGCTCGATGGTGCACACACGAGTACACACACACACACACACACACACACACACTTAGCACCCACTCAGGCCTGCTGGTAGAGACGCTGCCTCTTTCCTCACCATGGCTCACCTCTTTAGTCAGGGACCTCTGAGGACCTCTGAGCTGGCCTAGTCGCCGCCTTCAGGCCCCATTCCCCTCAAGACAGGCCCTAAACCTGACACACAAGGGGACTGACACTGCCCCTAACACATTGGGTCACCTATCTTTTTATTTTTTTAATTTCTTAATACAATTTTAAAAGTTACTTTCCATTTACAGTTATTACAAAACATTAGCTATACTCCCCATGTCGTACAATACATCCTTGAGTCTATCTTACACCCAACAGTTTGTACTTCCCTCTCGCCCACCCCAAATTGCCCTCCCCCCACCCCAACTGGTAACCACTAGCTTGTTCTTTATATCTTGGGTCACCTATCTTTAGAGTGTCCACTCGGATACACTGCCCAGGCCAGGGGCACACGCGTACACTCACACCCCATGGGCATGCCTCCCCACCACCCATCCCTCCTCAGAGCGGCCACTCTGAGCATCCAGGACAAGATACCCGACCCCACCAAGGGCAGCCCTCTCTCCACAGCAGCTGTATTTCCGGGACTTCTCGGGCTGCAGCTCCCAGGGGATTAGGCCCAGCAGGCAGCCTGGACACAGCTCGGGCACAGGCTGCTTGGGCCGCCCCCCACCGGGAACTCAGCTCGCCGGGCTACCGTCAATGGCCTCAGCTCTCCACATCCACTTTCTAACTCTTAATCCCCGGAGCTGAGCCACAATGGCCCCTTTTCCCATACTTGCTCCTGGCCCTCACAGGCCCCAGCCTGGCCTCCCACCCCAATCGGAGCCCTCCTGGACCGCAGCGCAGGATGAGGGTGGGGCGGGGGACAAAGCTGGCCCAAGGTGGAAGGGGACAGAAGAGGAGGCTCTGGCCTTGTTAACTAACCACCCCTACCCCAAGAGATGCAAGACGGGCATGTGCGTATAGGTGGGTGACATGCGTAGGGCCCTCAGGGATGAGCCCCATGCTGCTGCACCCCATCTTTCAGGCCATTCAACCTGGAGGCTCTGAGAAAGGGTTCTCCACTTAGGAACCCCACTCTTTTCTCACACCGTCCTGAAGACCCTCATCTCCTGGCTGGGCCAGGAACCAGAGAGTGGGAAACATGGGGTCCAGGTTGGGACATTGAAATCAGAGGGACCTGGGCTCCAGTGTCACTTTAGCACCACCCTTAATAACACTGTGACCAAGGATGGGTTACCCCCACGGGTTATCCCCACCTGTGAGATGCTGGGAGCTGCTGGGAGGTTAAATAGCAGGGCCTGTAAGGTCAGCACAGTGCCCAGCACATAGTCAGCACTCAATACATGGCTGCTGTCATCATTTGTGAGTCAAAACAGGAGGGGACTTGGGGTACAGCCACCAAACAACAGATGTGGGGATAGTCTCTGGGTGTGCCCCTGCAGCCCTGCTGGAATCTGGGCTCTGCAGGGTCCTGCGAAAACCGTCAGTCACAGCTGTGCCCTCCAGGATAAGCCTCACAGTATGAGCCTCCCAGTTGCCAACATTTTAAAGACCTCATCCCCAATCACGTGACCCAGAGCTAGTTTGGGCAACAGGGGTCGGTCCAGACTCAGGTCTCTCCCTGCTGAGGCCTGGGCTTGGGCTCCCAGGGCAACCTCGACATTATCCTGAGGCAACTGCCGGACCCTTGCCTTCGGTGCCCTCCCTGCACAGCCACCAGAACCCAGGTCGTGTCATCAGAGGAAGGGGCCCCCCCAGAGCCCCCAAAGCCTGGTCCTTGTCTGGGCCTACTACTGGGCGAGACTGCCAGCGGGACCTCAGGGCCGTCAGGCTTCGGGATCTCCTTCACCCGTACCTCTCCGGCGCCGCCGCCCCTCCCAGGCCCTCCGTGGGCGTGCCGGGCTGGGCTAGGCTGGGCCAGCTCTGCAGGGGGAGGGAGGCTGGGGTGAGGATCAGCTGAAATCAAAGCCGCCGCTCCCCTCCCCGCCACGCCGCACCCCTGCCGAGCCGCCGCGCACCTCCTTCTTTGTCACAATGTTTTTCAATCCGGTGAAGCAAACTGTCCAATTAGAGCCGGGGCCTCCGGCTTCCATCTTTGCCGACGTTTAATTAACACGCTCCTCTTGGCAGCTGCTGACAAGTTCCAGAAACAGGTTGTAAAGGGTTTTTGTCTTTACCCAGCATGGAAAATGAGGGGTGTTACATCTCGGGGAACATGAATAGGTTGCATTTCAGCTCCTCCTCCTCGCCGCCTCCTCCCGCTCCTCTGGCAAGCGGAATGAAGGCCTGAGTGCGTATGTACGTGTGAATTGCGAGGAGGACGGGGAGGGCGATTTGGAGGCAGGAGAGACCTTCTCCTTCCTCTCCCCTCACCCCTTCTTCCCGGAGTCTTTGCTCCACAAAGGATCTGGATTCTGCTTCTTATTCTCCAGCTGGCACACTTCTGCCTCACCTCCTTTTTAGCCATACCAAACCTTGCCATGCTGATCCCCATCCCTGGGTCTCTGCCCATGCTGTCCCTTTGCCATCCTTCTGGTAAACTCCTATTCAGCCTCCAAAACCCTGCACAGGTGGCCCACTCTGGTAAGCCACCTGGGCATTGAATGCCTGCCAGAGTTCAGGGTGGATTCTGGATGTCAGTTTAATCCCCCAGCTACACTGTGAGCCCCCTGAGGGCAGGAACCCTGTGTGGTGGCAGGCCTTAATAAATGATGGAAGATCTGAATTACTGCAATATTCTCCCAGTGTGGAGGGAAAGCAGGACTGGCATGGCAGGGAGGAAGGCGGGAAGGGTTGGGGGAGGGGGATTGGCCACAAAAGCCCTATCTCTCTACTCTCTCACCTGCCTGAGTGCCCTTGAAAGGGAGCCGGGTCACATGGAGGGCACAGTGGGCATGGAGTTTCACAAAATGGGCGTTTCTGGGGTGGCTGATGTGAAGTAAGGAGGGGCCTTGGGGAAAGATCCCAGTCCAAAAGCTGAGCCCTGCTGGGGGAGGGTGGGGGCGGGCTCCAGGCTGGGCAGACTCCAGCACCCTCCTCTTCAGCCTGGGATGATTTTCCTTGCAGTGTGAGTGGCACTTGGGGTGGGAGGTCAGGACTGAAGCAGGAGGTTTCCTCGGTCTTTTTCTCCCTCAAACTGGCCCTGTTGGAGCATTAATACCCATTCTACAAAGAACACCAAGAACGTTTTATTCACGGAGGCTACCATCTGCATGGCACAGAGAGGTCTGGAGGATTCAGGGGGCATGGGAGATACTGGCTGAGGGGCAGGAAGGGAGTGGAAGAGCCCAGCAGTCGGTGGTTGGCAGCTACGTTGTCTCGTAGGAGGGCTCGGGTCCACCTCCAGCCCCCAGCCCCACTCCTGCCTGCTTTTCTCAGGATGTGGCCACCAAGACCCCTGGTGGCAGGCTTCCTGCAGCCAGAACCTGGCTTGGATGCCCACTTTGTCTATAGCTCCTCCTCCATTCTCAGGCAGGTCCCCTGGGATGAAGGCGGCGGGAGAGATGGAGGCACCCTGGCCCGGGCCAGCAGGTGGAGTGCCGCTCGCCTTGCTCTTTTGTTCCCAGCTTGATCAGAACTGGCTCCTTGGGGAACGCTGAAACAGTCTGTGGAGCCTGCAGGGAGAGAGCCAACAGCAGCGGGCCACTGTCATGTTCTGCAGTAACCCCTCGGGCACCTTTTCCTTTTCTGAACAAGACGGGCAGCATTAGAAGCAACCGGTGACAGCCTCTGTTTTCTCTTTCCTTAAACCCCAGCATCCTCTCCTGCCACATCACTCAGCCTGTGTCCCAGACACAGCTCTTTCCAAACTCTGGTCTTCGAAGAGGTCAGATAACTACGATAAGAGCAATGATAGTGACCTGGAGAGACCCCCAGTTCCTCCACTTGCGCTGTGTGGCTTTGAAGATCCTGAACCTCTCTGAGCCTTAATTTCCTCATCTATTAAAAAGAGGGAAGTAACTGCACCTGTCTGTAGAGGTCTCTGAAGGGTCAGATGCAAAAGACATGAGAAAGGGCTTGGTGCATTCCACAGAGGGAGCAAGGAAATGTTAGTTGATGGAAAAAAAGGAAGGAGAGCGAGATAAGGAAGGAAGGAAGCGTGTCGCCTGAGTTGATCTACTGAACAGAGCCAGACCTGTCTTCTCCACTTTTATAAATGAGGAAAGTGAGGCTCAGTCTCTGGGGTGAAGAGTTCCTCAAAGTCACTCTTCCAGTCCAGGGTGCTTTCCACAAATTATCGTGTCTGTCCAGTAGGCGCATAGTCTGACTCTGAGTGCCTCTCCCACCAACCCCAGCATGCCGCTGTGGGTGGGTGGGTAGGGGGGTGTGGGAGCTCACATCCTCATTTCTTGATGCTTTCTTTTTGCCCCTTTGCTGGTGGCATCTGATTCCCAGAGTTGGGCCCCCACTGACAAGCCAAACTCATGCTCACCTGCTTCTCACTTGCCCTGGGAGTTTAAGGTTCTGAGGGCTTGAGGGTGGGGTCCTCAGAACGGAAAACAATACTCTTCTGGTCCTTGGGCATCTGCAGAGAGAGGAGGCAGCTCCGAGGGCCCTGCCTCAGGCCGGGCAGGTGTACCTGGTGGAACTAGAACAGCCTGGGCAAGTCAGGAGCGGCAAATGGTGTGTGGCGGGCGCCACCTTGTGATCACCGTGCAGTTTGCATGTACGCAAAGCAGGGCAGTCTTTCGCACAGGTATCCAGCTCCTAGTTCACTTAGCCACTGTCCAGGGTGCTAGGGCACTGCAAGGCCAAGGCACAGTCCTTGACCCACTAGAGCAATGGGAAGGCATTCAAGTGAAGTGCACAGTGACAGTAAGAGTTGTAAGTGCACCCAAGAGACTGATAACCCAGCCTAGGGGGATTCCATTGTGCTGAACACACTTTTTGAAAGAGGAGTAGTAGTGTGCCAGGTGAGAGGCAGCATGGCAAGCTCCCTGAAGTGCAGGCAGGTCCAAAAGTGAGGTAGGGGGAGATGCAGGGAAAGCCAGAAGTGGATTGGTAGGTGCAGTAGGGGTGGGGCAGATCAGCCCAACCTTGGCCTCAAGGCTCAGATTTGATCCTAAAGACTCCCTCATCTGTTGTCCTGGGGAATATCTGTCTCACTTCTGTCCTCTGGGAAGCCACCTTATCTCCCAGGTAGACTACCCAGAGGCCAGGGGCCATGGGAATGGCTTGATGGTGGCTTACTTCCATTGACACGGAATTATATTACTTGAAACTGAGCACTGCTGAAGGGTATATAGCACAGAGAAGGTGTGAACTTAGAATAAATTATAAAGATCAAAACAGAACCAAGAGGGAATTCCCTGGTGGTCCAGTGGTTAGGACTTGGAGCTTCCACTGCTGTGGCCACCCCAGTTCAATCCCTGTTTGGGAAACTAGGATCCCACAAGCTGTGCCATGGCCAAAAAAAAAAAAAGAAAAGAAAAGAAAAAGAAAAGAGAGAACATCTACATATGGGAATTGATAATGTTTTTTAGTTTATTTCATCAGCATTAAATCTGTGTGGTTTCTAATTGTGGTGTCTGAAATAGTTTTAAGTTCTGACTTCAAATGTAGAATGAAAATAATTACACTGCTAAAAAAATAAAGTTTATTCAGAATGTAATAACACAAAACACTTCTTATGATAGAGAGATAAAGAAAAAGAGCAGGATACCAAATCAAGTATAATATCATCTCAGCTATGTATGAAAAATCAATGCCGATTTTTAAAAAAGGGCTGGAAGGAAATATATCGAGACTATTAATAGTGCTTGAATGAGGGTGATGGGATTTCTTTCTATTTTTCTCTATTTCCAGATTTTCTTTAATGAGCTTCTATTCATGTTATAATTTAAAAATAATTTAAAGAGAGTGAATTGAAAAGGCTTATTAGTTATGTACATATAATTGGATTACCCTGAAAACTTCTGGTATGATTTTAAAAATACAGAGCCAACTAATCATAAGAGATGCAAATCAAAACCACAATGAGCTATCACCTCACACCTGTCAGAATGGCTACCATCAAAAAGTCTACAAATAACAAACGTTGGTGAGGATGTGAGAAAAGGGCACCCTTGGACACTGTTGGTGGGAATGAAAATTGGTGCAGCCACTATGGAGAACAGTATGGAAGTTCCTCAAAAAACTAAAAATAGAACTGCTATATGATCCAGCAATTCCACTCCTGGATATATATCTGGATATATATCTGGAGAAAATGGAAACACTAATTTGAAAAGACATATGCACCAAAATGTGCATAGCAGCATTATTTACAATAGCCAAGATATGGAAGCAACCTAAGTGTTCAACAACAGATAAGCAGATAAAGAAGACATGGTATAGAGAGAGAATGGAATATTACTCAGCCATAAAAAAGAATGAAATTCTGCCATTTGTAACAACATAGATGGACTTGGAGGGTGTTATGCTTAGTGAAATAAATCAGAGAAAGACAAATACTGTACATTATCACTTATATGTGGAATCTAAAAAATAAAATGAACAAATGAATAGAACAGAACAGAAACAGACTCACAGATATAGAGAACAAACTAGTGGTTACCAGTGGGGAGAGGGAAGGGAGGAGGGGCCAGATGGGGTAGGGGATGGGATGCTAGTGGTTACCAGTGGGGAGAGGGAAGGGAGGAGGGGCCAGATGGGGTAGGGGATTAAGAGGTACAAACCACCATGTATAAAATAAGCTACAAGGATATAGTATACAGCACAGGGAAATATAGCTATTATTTTATAATAACTTTAAATAGAGTATAATCTATTAGAATATTGAATCACTATGCTGCACATCTGAAACTAATATAATATTGTAATTCAACCATACTTCAGTAATAAAATAATACAAAGCCAAATGAAGGACAATGATGGGCAGACCCTTGTCTCAGGGGCCACAGACACAGGCTAGGTCCTTGCCCTTGTCAGGAGGGGGAAGTGCAGGAGGCAAGAACGGCCCTCTGTGTCATCCTCCATCACCTAATGCAGGTAAATACCTCTAATAATGATTCGTGGGGAGGAAGGCCATCCTGAAGCCACAGAAAGCCCAAACTGTGGCATGTTTTCTGTTTTGATTTTTGCTGTATGCGGGCCTCTCACTGTTGTGGCCTCTCCCATTGCGGAGCACAGGCTCCGGACGCGCAGGCTCAGCGGCCATGGCTCATGGGCCCAGCCGCTCCGCGGCACGTGGGATCTTCCCGGACCGGGGCATGAATCCGTGTCCCCTGCATCGGCAGGTGGACTCTCAACCACTGCGCCACCAGGGAAGCCCTGTGGCATGTTTTTAAAGAAACTGAGTTCTGTGACATTCTACTACTTTTAGCTTCTAGAACAATGTTTCTCAAGTTGGATTTTTGTACTGACACTTCTCTTGATGCTGGGAGAAGTGTTAGTACAAGGCCACCTGGGAGCTTGTTCCTATGCAGAGTCCCAGGCCCTACTGAAATGGAATTTCTGGGCTAGCCTCTGGGAAACTGAGTTTTTCCAGGCGGTTCTTATGAATACAGAAGCTAAGCACTGCACTGTGATTCTAAACCCAGGCTGTATATCAGATTCACCTGGGAGGTTTTAAGTACTGAAAAATTCTAATGCCCAGGCCCTTCACAAGACCAATTAACTCCAAGTCTCTGGAGGCTGAGACCTGAGCTTGGAAAGCTTTTAAAGCTCTCCAGGTGATTCCAATGTGCATGTAAGGACCCAAACCCACTGGTCTTGGGCAGTGGTTCACAGATGAGTTTTTCATCAGAGTCAGGTGGAGGGCTTGCAAACAGTGCTGGGCCCCACCTCTTGAGTTGTGAAATCAGGAGCTCGGGGTTGGACTTGAGAATTTATATTTCTCACGAGCTCCCAGGTGGTGCTTCTGCTCTGGGGAACACAGGGGACTAGGCTTTGGGAATTACTCTAGAATGCTCTAGAATGCAGCCTTCAACCCCCAAGAGACACAGCCTCCTGGATAAAGGAGCAGGATGACACAGGCTCTGTCCTCCAACCCTCAGCTTCCTGCTTCCCAGGCCCCAGCCCAGCTGATGTGGTCCAGGGAGAGAGGAATGCAGCCACCCTTGTGTGGGGGGACAAGTCAGTAAAACTCACCTCCCAGTAGATTGCATCCTCAAAGCAGTTCTCATCAGCGGCTTGTCCCCAGAATGGCAATTTCAAAATGACCCCTAAAGGAAGTTGGAGGTCAGGGATGACTTCTCTACTTACCCAGCCCTTTCCCTTGACTAGAAAAATCCCCTCAGTCTCACCGCTATAAGTGCAGAGACAAAGGGTTTCTGGGAGCCCCAGCTGACCTCTGGCACACATTCTTAGGTCCCCCAACCACGGGCCCCACCTTCTCTGGCCCAGCCAGTCCCACTCACCTACGATGATGCCTCCCACCAGGGCCATGGCCAGCGACACAAAGAGACCAGCAGCCTGGAACTTGCCCTGTGTGCTTGCGTTCCAGCTCAGTGTGGAACTTCCAAGGCCAAAGGCAAAGGCAAGCCTGGGGTGGAAACAGGGGTCAGGTCAGGGCCCCACGGAGAGGCCAAGTCACCGCCTGCTGCCACCCCACACACGAGTGGACACCAAGGCTCAATAATCCCTGGGCCTCAGCCTTCCCGTCTGCAAAATGGGGGCACTGAAAAGATCAGACGGTCTCTAAGATTCTTATGGAAGGACAGAGGTTGAGGAGAGAAGGCCCATGAAATAGTGGTCCAGACTGGGCAAGAAAGGGGATAGAGACACAGTTTTGGACCCAAAAGGGACAGTAGGAAGGAGGAATGGAGAAGGAAGGAGGGAGCTCAACCTCCCTCTACCTCCTCCATTCTTACCCTTCCTGCCCATACAGCTCAGTGTTGGCGGAGGCTGCCGTCACAGCACCCACAATGCCACCTATGATGCCGGGAATGCCATGCAGGTTGTGAATGCCACACGTGTCCTGGATCCGCAGCCGGGACTCCAGGAATGGCTGGAAAGGGGAGATAGGTGCTGCTCAGGCAGGGGGCTGTGGCACGATGTGGGGAGGCCAGGATTCTGGAGGCTCTAAATACAGAGAGACCCCGGATTCCCCAGTCCCCCACCCCCTCCCTAGGGACCACCCCCCACTGCCAGGAACACAGAGACCCAAGCATTCTCCAGCCCCCAGCCCCTGGCCTGGGGCCCTCACCGTCAGGTACACAAAACCCAGGGTGGAGATGATGCCGCAGATGAAGCCGATGATGAGGGAGCCGTAAGGCATGAGCATCATCTCGGCGGCGGTGCCCACGGCCACCCCTCCCGCGAGCGTGGCATTCTGGATGTGCACCTGAGCAGGGCAGGCAGAGCGGGCAGGAACTCAGTCCTCTCCCAGAGTAGCGTCCTGGAGGAGCTGACCCATAGCCCAAGTTGACCTCCTATGCGTGGGTGTCACCTGGGAGCCAGGGATGGCTCAGAGTGCATCTCAGCAAGCCAGGAGACTGCGGAGGGCTCCAGCCTGGGCCCAGGCTTCGGACAGCCACCCCTGTGTTCTCTGCACATGTGCCACCCACACTAGCGCTCTGGGCTTTTTCCGTGTGCACAAATCAGTGTTCTGTGTCCATGCCAATGAGTTCCATCAGCACATCTGCATGTTCCCTTTGTATCTGGCTGCCACACATCCCTGTGTGCCCAGGTTTGCATGTCTGATGTTCTCTACGTGCCCGTGTGCCAACGTCAGGCACCTCTGGGGCCTATTCATTCACACGCACCCATGTCAGACTCTGTGAGCCTACACCAGCACCAGCTGACTCTCTGAGCGCCTACCTGCGCCATAGACTGTGTCGCTGGCTTGTGGGGATGTTGTTTCCTCTCCACAACAAGCCCAGGAGGTAAGTACAGTTATCTTTTGACGTTTGCAGATGAGGAAATTGAGGCACAGAGAGGTTAATGGACTTGCTGAAGACCACAAAGCTAGCAAGGGGCAGAAAGGTGTCTTGATCCAGGTCTTTGTGGAGCCAGAGCCCCTGACCTTGACCCTATTCCATGTCCCCCCCTGCATGTGCCCACGTCAGCGTGTCTGATTCTCTTCCCCCTGCTTCCTGAGTCCCCACCTCTCTGTGCAGTGATCGGTCAGTGCATCCAGGGGCTCCGGGCTGTGTCCCGGAATAACGGGCACTCCTGGCAGTGTCTTGACACACATGTGCCCATGTCTAGAAGCTAGTGTCAGAATAGCAAATAGAGAGGTGGTTGTGTTTTTACAGAAAAATCTACCAACACCCATGGGGTTTGGCCCCTCCCGCTAATGACAGAAACACATGTCCCAGTGGCGTGATATAAAGGACACTGGGCAACACCACATTCCCACAAACCTCCCAAATGCATCGAAGGGATTCCCCCTTTGGTGTGTGGGATAGGGCAGGTGAAAGCAGTGCTAGGAAGGCTGAGGGCCAGTGTCTGGAGGATCAGAAGTTGGCAGAGTTGGCAGCACCTCGCTCAGTCCAGAAGAGCTGCCAGCACCCAGGCTGCGGGGAGGAGAACGCGAGGAGCCAGTTCATCCAGAGCAGCCTGCACGATAGAACCGCCAAGAATGTGGTTCTGGGCTCTGCCTAAAGCCAGCTATGGCATCTGGACAAATCATTTCTCCCGGAGCCCCTGTTTCTTCATCTGCAAGATGGGTGCGACAACCCTTACGCTACCTGCTTCACAGCGTTGTCGGCAGGGCATGGTGATCAGTGCCCACGGGGCACAGGCAGTCGTGGCCACAGCTCCTCCCAAGGCCCCCCACTGCTCCCCCGCCCCACGCTCACCATATCCAGCTTGCCCTTCTTATGCAGGACGCTGGACAGTGCCACCGCAGTGAGCACACAGGCTGCCAAAGAGCAGTAGGTGTTGATGACAGCTCGGTGCTGGGCGTCTCCGTGATTGGACACAGCTGAGTTGAAGCTGGGCCAGTACATCCACAGGAAGAGGGTGCCTGGCCAGACCAGACAGGGCCGGTGGGCCCGGGAGAAGAGGTGTTAGATGGGCCCAGCGGAGCTCAGGCAGACATCCTGTCCTTTAGCTACAGAGATGTCAAATGACTCACACGCCCCAGCTATTTCCCACCCCTGCAGCTTTATTCATGCTGGGATCTTCTTAGAAGGCCCTCCATGCCTTACTTACTACCTAACTCTCACTGAGCCTTCCACTCTGCTCCAGGAAGTCTACCTTGACCCCATAACTGGGCAAAATGCCTCCCATCCGGCTTCCACAGCACCTTGAGGGAGAATCTTTTTCTCCACTGTAGGGAGATTATCTGGTGGCATGGCCATCTCTCTACTACACTGTGAGGCGCTCCTTGGAGGCAGGGCTGGGTTTTAAGAGACCAGAGAGGGTGGCTGATACGTATTCTCTGGAATGAATGGGCACCGGAAATAGGAATGTACACCTTGCCTAGCCTAGGGATGGAGTGAACAGTTCCTGGTTACCACTGTGTCTGCCCTGGGACATCCTAGGGAACACACAGCATGACTGACCAACTTCTTCCAGCCCCATGGGGGAAAGGGACAAGTATGTGGGATCCTGGAAGTATCTATAGGCGACCTCTCTCTGCCCTTCCTCCAAAGGGAGCTGGCAGCCACCTCACAGAGCGCATGGGGATCAGCTGTGAACATGGCAGCCTGAACTGCTCATGGTGACCTTCACCCGTCACAGTGGTCCTCACCCGACATGGCAGCCCTCAGTCATCACGGTGCCCCTCGATCATTATGGAAGCTCTCACCGATCATGGCAAAGAGGTCCGAGTGGTACACAGAGCTTGGCCTGTCCTTGCTCTGATATAGGTTGGGTCGGTAGAGGATCCAGGTCACTGTGAGCCCAAAGTAGGCGCCGAATGTGTGGATGGTCATGGAGCCCCCTGCATCCTTCACCTGGGGTACAAGGGGCCTGTCAGACTCTGACACCTCCTCTCTCCCTCCTCAGAGCACTCTCCCACCTCCCCCTACCCACAGACAGAAGTTCAGCTGTCTTTTGACTCCACAGGCTACAGGAGGGAGCCTAGGGCCCCTTATAGACCAATCAACTGGGAGGGGGAGAAAGTGGAGATCCCCTGTACAGCTATACTTCAATAAAAAAATAAAGAGGGGGATCCATGAACCCAGGCTGTAAGCCTGCCAGCAAAATGCCAGGGCATCCTCACCCAACAGATGAGGTTTATGGCCAGATGGGGAACCCAGGCCTGGAAAGGACTTGCTCAGTCACACAGCTGGAAGAGGTAAAGCCAAGCTAGGACCCAGGGCAGCGCCCTATCTAGTCTGTCACCCACTAGTTTCCAGGTTATCTTAATTCCTGGGACCTCGCCGCTACCCTCTGGGGTCTCCCCTCTCCACATTTCCTCCTACACACAAATCCTGGCCCAACACCACCCCATCCGGACTGCCATTACCCGTCTCCCCTGCATCCTATCATGCTCCTTGCCCTCCAACCTCCCAGCCAACCTCCCACCGTCCACCCCATCCCCTCTCCTCTCCCCTGTCCCCCAGAGTCAGAGCAGGCAGATATGGTGCCCTCCCCATCTGTCCATTCCTGGGCCTCCTGCCCTACCCGACTCAGCCCACTGCACCTCTGGACCTTAAGTCTCAAGTTCCTCCTTTACAAAGTGGGGCAGGTCCTAGTGACTTAGCAGGGCTGTCTTGAGGATGAAACTAGACAACTTGTGTAAAGCACTTGGCAAGCATGTGGCACTCCACAGGGGTGGATGATTGACTGATTTAGTCTTCCTCCCTGCCCCCAACCTCCCCTCTCTTCATCTTCCTCTTCCTCCCCACTCAGGAAATCCCCATCAGAATCACAGACTCGCTTCTTCGCTTGAGATGGGAAACCCAACCTTGTGTCCAAGGTCACACAGCTAGCTGTTGAATAGTTGACAGAGCTGAGTTTCCTGACTCCCAGCCTGGTGGGTGCCTCGACTAGCTATGTGACCTTTGGGGAGCCCCTTACCCTCTCTGAGTCTCAGTCTTCTCATCTGTAACATGGGGGTAATAATTGTGTCTATCTCAGAGATGAGAATTAAATGAGATAACCCATGTGAAGCATTCAGAGCAGGGCCCAGGCAAGGGCAAGTGCTCCTTAACTGTCAGCAGTCATTATTATGTTTAAACTTGGCTCAAAGAGAGGCCAGAAGACTGTCATGCATTGAAAGAATTTCTGCAGCAGATCAGGGAGGGCTTTTGAGGGCCAAAGGAGGCTTCTCTGCCTCTAAATTCACACCCAAGATACTACTTCTCAGCCAATTTCAGGTCTCATCTGTTGACCCCACTGTGTACCCCCTCACCTAGCCTCACTTCTTTCTCTCTACCCACCCCAATCAGTCTCCAAGGTCTATTTGTTCACCTTCCTTATAACTCTTGTATCATCCACTTTCTTCTCCTTGTACTAACCCAGTCCCATTATCTCTCACCAGGGTGACTAAAACAGCCTCTTAACTGGACCCTTTGCCTCCAACTGTTCTCTTCACTACAGCCAAAGTGACATTTCCATTACATGTGTCTGACCATGTCACTCTCCTGCCTGAAACCTTCCATAGCTCCCGACTGCCCTCATGATAAAGTGGAGACTCTTTGGGACCTCCCTGGTGGTCCAGTGGTTGAAACTCTGCGCTTCCAATGCAGGGGACTCGGGTTCGATCCCTGGTCGGGGAACTAAGATCCCACATGCCGCATGGTGCAGGCAAAAACAAACAAACAAAAAAATAAAGTTGAGACTCTTTAACACAGCCTCTGAAAGTCTGAAGATCCGTGTTCCTCTCCCTACCCCGTTTCCTTTGCCTCAAATGCCCTTGCTCATTCCTTTGCCTGGTTATCTCCTACTTGACTTCTAGCTTTGATATTTCTTCCTCCAGGAAGCCTCCCTGACCTGCCAGATGCTGGTTCAGGCCTTCCTCCCCTCCCTCCAGGCCACCTAGCCCTGGAGCTCAATCCTTGTCTCACTGCATGGTCACTGTCTATTTGCTTCCTGGCCCCCTCACTAGACTATGAGCTCCTTGGGATCGAAACAAGAGTCCTGCTCACCTCTGTATCCCAGTGCCTGGAGCATTGCCTGACATGCAGTTAGACTCCAAAATTCATTCCCTTGACAAATATTTCTTGAGAACTTATTAGGCATTGGGCCAGGTGCCAGGAATAGAGACAGTCCAGATAAGATAAGGTTTCCCATGCTTATCAGATAAGGATACAGGCTATGAAGAAGATAAATTAAGGCAATGAGAGAGAGAGTGACTGGGAAGAGGTAATGTAGAAGGCAACACCGGGTAGGAGAATCTGGGAGGGCCTCTCTGAATAGGTGAGATTCCAGTTTAGACCACAAAAAAAGGACTGGAGGGGGGATGAGCATTCCAGGTAAAGGCAACAGCAAGTAGAAAGGCCCTGAGGCGGGACCAAGCTTGGTGTGTTTGAAGAGCAGACAGCAGGGTATGGCCAGAGCATAGAAAGATGGGGAGAGAGTAGATGATAAGCTTGTAGAAAAGGCTGGGACCAGAACAGGTAGGGCCTTATAACAAGTTTGGATTTTATTTGAAGTGAAATTTTAAAAACCAGGGTTTTAATCTGGGGAGTGGTCTTATATGCATTATTAACAGGTCACCATGGCTGCTGGTGGAGATTAGCCTGTGGTGGTGGGTGGGGCAAGGATGAAGCCAGCGAGGGACTTACTTCCCTGGCTGTCCAGTAGTTAAAACTCTGCGCCTCCACTGCAGGGGGCGCGGGTTCAATCCCTGGTAGGGGAACTAAGGTCCCACATGCCTGGCGCGGCCAAAAAAAAAGGATGAAGACAGGGAGATGAGTCAGGAGGAAGGGATATGGTGGCTTGGACTAGTCTGGTGGCTGAAAAAAAATGACAAAATGAATGATTGAATGTAGGGTGGCCTGAAAACAAAACCCCTGGCAGTGGGACTTCCCTGGTGGTCCAGTGGTTAAGACTCTGTGCTTCCACTGCAGGGGGCATGGGTTCGATCCCTGGTTGGGGAACTAAAATCCTGTGTGCACAGCATGGCGGAAAAAAAAAGAAAAGAAAAGGAATGGAAAGCATGTGCTCACAATAGTGGAACAAAATGATTAGGGTCCTGGATCCCAGATGATACTGAGGAACCACTATACAAGCCCTGATCTCCCTGCTTCTGAGAAATAAACTTTTGTATTTAAAAACAAAAAAATCCAAAAAATCCTGGGGGTTTTCAGGCAGAGTCCAAATATAGAGGAGCTGGGGGCTAAGAAATGGATGGGGTCCCTGAATAATCCCTACACCTGCAAATATACCAAAGAGGTGTCTGAGCAAGAGTCAGCAGCCTAAGGTGCCCCTTACCTGGGCCAGTGAATTGGCCAACTCCAGGGGGCATCATTCCTGCCATAGAGGTCCATGTGAATGGCACCTCTGGAGTTGTGCAACCTGTGAAGCTATACATCCACCTTGGCCACTCCCCTGGGAACTTTTCTTACTGATGTGCCCCTTCAATATACTGTGCCTTTTTCTTGGCAGAGCAATCTGAGAATATGTGTGTGGAAGAGGGTGTGCAGGAACATCCCATTCTTTCCATCTGATATACAGGAAAGAGAAAGAAGAGAGAAAATCAACATGTGAGGAACCACTTCTCTGCCTAGCTGGTGGACTGATGTACCAGGTAGACTATCATTCCTGCCCAATAAATGTCATTACTCCCGTTTTACAGATGAGGAAACTGAGATTCAGAAGGTTAAGTGACTTGCCAAGCTTGAATTGAATTCAGCTGGCATGTCTCCCCAGCTCTCTCTTTCTCTGTTCCCCTCCTGCCCCCCCTGAAGTGTCCCTTCTACCCCCATCCCTGTTCTGACCCCTGCTCACCTCTAGCAGGCTGAGGAGAATGAACTCATTCACTGAGAAGAGGGTCACTTGGAAGAGAGTCATGATGAGGAGCTGGACAGGGCTGACTTTGCCCAGAACTGCCCCAAAGGCGACACAGACAGAGCCCACGCAGAAGTCCGCATTGATGAGGCTGTGGGGAGACAGGTCAGGGGAGGGGCTGAGGCCACAGCAAGAAGTGGCACTCCAAGCCCTGGGGTTGAACCTAGACTTTGGTCACTTGTGGGTTTGGGCTTGCGGTCTAAACTTTCTGAGCCTCAGTTTCATCATCTGTGGTAATGGGCACATAGTATCTTAGAGCTACTCTAAGAATTGAAAGAGGGCTTCCCTGGTGAAGCAGTGGTTGAGAGTCCGCCTGCCGATGCAGGGGACACTGGTTCGTGCCCCGGTCCGGGAGGATCCCATGTGCCGCGGAGCGGCTGGGCCCGTGAGCCATGGCCGCTGAGCCTGTGCTTCCGGAGCCTGTGCTCTGCAACGGGAGAGGCCACAACAGTGAGAGGCCCGCATACCGAAAAAAAAAAAAAAAAAAAAGAATTGAAAGAAATAGCATGTGAAGTATCCAGCACAGCAGTGGCACATACTAGATGCCACACCCTTCCTTTGTGGGCCCCATCTCAGGCCCCCACCCCTCCTTGCAGGCAGCTTGCACTTAAGGCATCCAGGTGGTCTGGCTACTGTTGTTGAATGTGGCCCATATTTGGGGCCTTGCCCTGACCTCCGTCTTCTACCTGCCCTTCCAGAACCTCTTCTCACCTGCCTCCTCTTCAGGAAGCCTTCCCCAATTCCTCTAACCAGATGTGGTCTCTGCCCCCGAATCCTTATCTCTCACTGTGCACACACCTCTCCTGCTGGCTACCAGGGCCTTGCTTGGGTTTGAGTTATCGTGACCTCCTCCTCACCTTAGAGGATATGTGTCCAGGGAAAAGGGAGGGGCCTTCCTGCAGACAGTAGGGAGCCGGAGGCTGGGTGGAGGGAGGGAGCAGAAAGGCCAACAGAGAGAATGGAGGCAGAGGGGCACATAGGCGCTCCTTAAGTGTGTACCCTGAAAGCCCAGCCAGCCAGCAGAGGCGGACATCATGTGGCCAGAGGAGACCCTGTTTCCATCCGTGTGTCCGCTTTGCCTAACCCAGGCCTCCGTGGGCCCTGCCAGCAGCAATGCTGTCCTGGATTCCAAGGCAGACTCTCAGCGTGGCTCTCTGAGTCATGAGCGTTGTTAATTGGGGTTCGTGTAAGGACAGCAGGGGCTACTACTTCCTTAAGGCAGTCACATCCAGGGGAGTGCCCCTCCCCCACGTTCAGGGGTGTGTGTGTGTGTGTGTGTGTGTGTGTGTGTGTGTGTGTGTGTGTGTGAATCAGGAGGTGAGAAGTAAGAAGCCAGCTGATTGTAGGGTCAGTGCGTGGAGTGGGGGCAGGGCACTGTTCCCTCAGGGTCCCTCTCCAGACAAAGGATGTTCACTGGAATGTATGCTTCACTATGAGCCTTGTTCACTGCTGAGTCCCCAGGGCCTGGCTGCATGAACTGATGACAGTTGCTAAGTGCCAGGCACCTAAATGCCTGCTCAGTACTGCTCAGGCCCTCCTGTACCACACCCGAACCAATGATGGGAAATGGAAGCTTAGGGAGGCCGAGTTATTTGCCCCAATTCCCATAACTGCATCCAGAAGACCATCTGACAGAGGTGACCACTAGGAAGGAGTGAGAGGGACAGTACCAAAGCCCACACCTGGGCCATCAGCTCCCGGGAGATGGAGATCTGGATTTCACCTCTCAGGCAGGGCCTGCAGAGGGGAACTACCCTGGAGTGACAGGTACGATCTGGAGGACTCTGCAGCAGGGACAGGACAGAAGCCAGGAGAAGGGTCCACAGGTCAGGTCTGGGGGCAACATGCTCATCTCAGCCGTGGGCAGCAGAGATCAGCTCTGGCTCAGTTGGTGAAAATCATTTCTCTGAAAACCAATTTGCCAAAACTCAAGTTGTCAAGTGACTAACTTGTTAAATAACTGGTTCAAAAAACTCACAAAAGTTTACAATAATTCCCTTTGAACATTTTAAAAAGCTGTATACTTTTGTTTTGTATTTAGCCATAGCTATTTTGCTGTGGTGGCCAATTAAATATTTTACAGATATTTTTATGCTTTGGGTCTATGGCTTTGGGAATGAGAATCTCTTGGGTATCTTAAACAGTAGAGTGATATGCATGTCACGGATTTTATATACAAAAAGACTGACTTCTTGGTTCCGAAACATTTCCTATCTAGTCGAGTATTTTTCCTGTTTCTCTTAATTCATGGAGTCACTAACTGGCTTAAGTGAATTAATATTTTGCAAATATTTGGCATATGTTTAAAATTTCAGGCACCTGGCTTATGATACCTGGTTGGTGCCCTATATGTGACAGCAGGGATTTGCACTTTAAACGTGGTTTATACCAATTTGCCTCTAAACCCATTCTGTGGACTTGGTTTTCTGATTTTCTCCCATGCAACACAAATTGCTATAGGTTTCACAAGTTGCTGTGGCCTACAGAGTTTGATAAATGAGTCATTCAGTGAAGTGACTGCTTGGCAACTTGGTTTTTGGCAAGTTGGCAAATTTATTGTATAACCTGGTGGTGGTGTTTCGGGGAGGGATACACTGAGGCTCCTAGGAGGTCTCCTCAGACAGAGGGAGGGGCTGAGTTAACTGATGTGAGGGGGTGGTGGTATTCACCAGACCAAGAGATTACCACAGAGAAAAGTGATGTGGATAGAGGTGAGAAGAGATGGGGATAAGGTGCCCCCTGGAGGCTGAGGCAGGGAGGGGCTTCAGTCCTAGGTCTCCACACCTGCCTCAGCTCTTTCCTATGCCTGTTCCATGGGTGGGGATATGGGCAAGTCAGGGAGAGGGCAAGGCAGGGAGAAGCACCCCATTCCATCCACAATGAACCTTAGGAGGCTGGTTCAGGCAGCCCCACACTCCTTCCCCTCCTCTGCCACCTGCAACACCGCCCCCTCCATGGGTCCCATGGGCTGAGGTCTCTCAGGGCAATTTTGTTGGATGTGTCAAAGGGGAGGGTCTGGCTCTGGCCCCTGGAGAGAAGAAGCCTGGCCTTGTGTCCCTGCAGCCTGCGTCTTAGGAGGAGGGAAAGCCTCCAACAGCACTTGGACACCATTAGAACTCCCACCTTGGGGACTCGTTGATCAGGAAGTGAGTGAGCGAGTGCGTGTGGTGTATGTCGCAGGGCCCCGGGTACCCTGGTTGGACGATGAGGACCCAGCTCACAGCCCCCAGCCCCGGGCTCCGCCCCTGGACCCTCCCCTCACCCGGGGCCCCGCCCACTGTGCTCGCCCCGCCGCCGGCGCCGCGCTTACTTCTCCACGCCCAAGAGAATGTAGCGTCCGTCAAAGGAGTGGAACCATCCCTGCATGAGCAGCGCCCACTGGATGCCGAAGGCCGCCAGCAGGAAGTTGAAGCCCACGGCGCTGTAGCCGTAGCGCTGCAAGAAGGTCATAAGGAAGCCGAAGCCCACGAAGATCATCACGTGCACGTCCTGGAAGCCTGCGGGGAAAGCGCAGCCGAGAGTCTTGGCGGCTTGGCGAAGACCCTCCATAGCCCTGGGTCTGGGCCAGCTCCGCCCGACACAGAGCCTGTGTCTTCCCTGCCACTGGCCGGGCCGGGCCGCCCCCGAAGCCGGTCCCGCCATGCCCGCATCTGGATCCTGAGGCTAGGCGCAGTAATGAATGGCTCTATTGCACGTAGAGGAGCCACTACTACCCCCATCAAGTCATAAGATACAAACTACTATGTATAAAACAGATAAACAAGGTCCTACTGTATAGCAAAGGGAACTATTTAATAGTTCTATTCAATATATTGAATAGAAACTATTGAAACTATTCAATATATTCAATAGCCTGTAATAAACCATAAAGGAAAGAATATGAAAAAGAATGGACTTCCCTGGTGGTGCAGTGGTTAAGAATCCGTCTGCCAATGCAGGGGACATGGGTTCAGTCCCTGATCCAGGAAGATCCCACATGCTTGTGGCAACTAAGCCTGTGAGCCACAAGTACTGAGCCTGCATGCCACAACTATTGAGCCCACGTGGTGCAACTATTGAAGCCCGCGTGCCTAGAGCCCGTGCTTTGCACCACCACAATGAGAAGCCCAAGCATCACAATGAAGAGTAGCCCCTGCTCTACGCAACTAGAGAAAGCCTGAGCGCAGCAACGAAGACCCAACGCAGCCATAAATAAATTTATTTTTTTTAATTTATTAAAAAAAAAGAAAAAATATATTTATATATATGTATAACTGAATCACTTTGCTGTACACCAGAAACTAACCGAACATTGTAAATTGACTATACTTCAATTAAAAATAAAAAAGACCTTCTGGAGTGGACTGGTCTAGGGGAACAGAGGTGGGCCCCCCGACTTTAGACCACTTAGACCACTGGGTTTTAAGGCCAAGAAATGCCTGAGCCCCGCCTCGGGAGATGACAGCTCCCCGTCACCACTCTCACCAAGGGTGGGCGTGGGCACCTAGACATTTGAAACTGGGGCCAAGCTGTGGATTACACCCAGGGTCTAGGGCCTTGCCCCCTCAACTCCATTCTTTTACTATGGAGAAGTTAGTCTTATCTAGCCTAGGAGTCCCTTAACTGGCCATGCACATCGGTTGATCACCCCCAGAAACATTGCCACATCCCACCCCCCACTCCCAGCAAGCACATCTTCCAGCATCACTGAGACCTGAATTAGATGTCTCTGGAAAGTCACTTAACATACTTGGTTCTCAGCACCTTCTGCAATGCTTACTCACAGATGTTGCAGAGATTAAATGCAGACTTGTATGTAAAGCACCTAGCACAGTGTCTATCCCATAATAGATGCTCCAAATGGGCATGTCATTATTTATTGCTACTTGATTATCATTTATTGTTACTTAGGTATAGTCTAATTCTCAGTTCTGACCCAACCCTTCTACCAATTCACAGTGTGGCTTCGACAAGCTACTTCCAGGACTTCCTTGGTGGTCCAGTGGTTAAGACTTTGCACTTCCACTGCAGGGGGCATGGGTTCGATCCCTGGTCAGGGAACTAAGATCCCGCATGGTGCGGCAAAAAAGAAAGGAAGGAAGGAAGGAATAAAGGAAGGGAGAAAGGGAGAAAGAAAGGGAGAAAGAAAGGAAGGAAGAAAGAAAGAAAAGACAAGCCACTTCCCCTCTCAGAGCCTCAGTTTTCTCAATGATAAAACTAAAGGGATGGATTAGAATGATCTCAGGTGTCCTCCTAGGGCTAACATTGCATGGTTCTAGATTCCCAGAAAATAACAGAAGGCAAAGAGCTTTGAGAAGCAAAGACAGCTACAAAAGTATAAAGCACTAAAAGGAACTACCACAGGTGTCACAGGACACAGGGGCCAGATGGAAGGGCTCTCACTGGCCAATTCTGGGACAATTTGAGCACCAAAATAATTAGGTTACCATAACAAATTAAAACCATAAAAAAATAGGAACTCAGAATAGGTAAATAAATAAATGAGATAGCAGGGAGGGCTCTTGCTTACAACAGAATGCTGCCAGCCTGACAGTTAAATGTGGAATGAGCGCTGAAGTTGGAAAATCATAATTTTCACAGCAAAGATTCCATCAGTGGATGCTGAAATCCAGGGACAAACTTTTGTGAAGAGCAGGACATTTGCCTTGTCTTAAAAGGGTCTCCCTATAGACTGCTCATGAGTTGCAAGGGAGGGGAAAAAGCACCCAGTAATTATACGGCAGAGAAATTGGGCAACATCTTGACTGAGTGATCAAAATGAACATCACCAGTGAGGGACAGATGGACAATGTGCTCCTTCAGGAAGATACTCTGAAAAGGACATATCACCTCTGTGGTGCTCTGGCTGAGAATGCATAATCCCATTCTAACCATGAGGAAACATCAGACAAAAAATGAGCAACATGATATTAGAAAGGGGTGAGGCTGTATTCTTGAAAAAAATCAATAACGTCAAAGATAAAGAAAGGCTGCCCATTTTGAGCACCTATTATGGGACAGACCCTGTGCTAGGTGCTTTACATGCACAGGAATGGTCCAGATTAAAGAGGCTAAAGAGGGAGAGGGAAGGGTAAGCTGGGACAAAGTGAGAGAGTAGCATTGCCATATATACACTATCAAATGCAAAATAGACAGCTAGTGGGAAGCAGCTGTATAGCACAGGGAGATCAGCTCGGTGCTTTGTGACCACCTAGAGGGGTGGGATAGGGAGGGTGGGAGGGAGACGCAAGAAGGAGGAGATATGGGGATGTATGTATACGTACAGCTGATTCACTTTGTTATACAGCAAAAACTAACACAACATTGTAAAGCAATTATACTCCAAAAAAGATGTTAAAAAAAAAAAAAAAAGAGCCTAAAAAGACAGGTCAAATAAGTTCAACACCTAACACTAGACTGAATCCTGGACTTGGCTGGGGTTGGGGGTGGGTGCGAGTGCAGGGGAGTGCTACAAAGGTTGTTACTGCGCCAACTGACAAAATTATATAGGGACAGTATATTAAAGTACTGTGCAATGTAAATTTATGAAATTGATTACTGTGGTTATAGAAGAGATTACCTCTATTCTTAGGAAACATTGTGGAGTAATTAAGGCTACAAGACCATGATGTGTACAACTGACTCTCAAGTAGTTCAGGGAAAAAGTAAGTGTATGTGCTTGTGCATGTGTTTATGTGGGAAAAGAGAGAGAGAGAGAAGAGCAGATAGCTTAATCGGAGTTAAAGAGTATACAGTGTTCTTTGTACTATTTTTGTCTTAGCAACTTTTTGTAAATTTGGAATGATTTCCAAATTAAAACATTTTTTGAATAAAAGTGAACTGCAGAGCCCACCAGACCTGGCCTACCCGCCTGCCTCCTCATTCTTCCTTTCCTCAGTCCTCCCCTCCCTCCTGTGCCCCGGCGTCACTGGCCTCCCTTGTGCTCGGTCCCACTCAGGGTCTTTGCCCGTGGTGGTCCCTCCACCTGGGATGCTGTTCCCACAGAATGGCCAGCAACTTCTCTTCCTGCAGATCTTGGCAAAATGTCACCTCATCACAGAGGCCTTCCTGACCCCTGAGTTTAAACTTGGTTCTTTCCCTCACAGCACCCTCTTCTTTCTTTTCTAGTTCTTATTACAATTTGTAGTTAGGTTTGTTTGTCTAGCCCACCAGACTATAAAGCTCCAAGAAGGGAAGGCCAAGCCTGTTTTGTTTACTCTGGTATTCTCCATTGTCTATGAGAGTGCCCAGGTAGATGCCCCATAAAAATCCAGGAATGAATGAATGAATGAATGAATGGTTACTGTCATGATCTCAGCAGCACCCAGATATGCCAGCCTAGGGCCCAGGTGGGATTTCACCATCAGGGGAGGCTGCAGGCCTTCTACTGTCCAAAGTCTCCTACCCACTGGGCAGATAGGCCCTGGTGCCCACAGCAGCCTGGCAATGCTTATGCTTGCCAGCCCCCATCTGCCCTCATCTGTCTCCCCTGCAGGCTTCCCTGAGGCCCAGGCCACAGCCATAGACCCCTTGGCTAGCAGCCACCTGGACGAGGCTGAGAGAGGAGGCCCTGGCGCATTGCTGGGTAAGGGTTGAGGGCATAGCAGATGATGCAAGAGAGCTGTGAGTGTCGCCCCAGTATGGTGCTCTGAGCTTTGCGCTTCTTGCACAGACCTACACAAACAAACAGCAGCTCAGCTTAGGTTCACAATGTGTGCAGCTGATTTCATGTATTATCATGTTTCATGGTTTATCACGTTTCTAACTGTTGTGGAGGAAGCTGAGCTAATGTATGTGAAGCACCATACACGGTGTTATGGTTATTCTTGGGAAGAGCTGATGGGTGACAGACTGGAAAGAGAGGGAGAAGACACATTCAGACCACAATTACAAAAGCAGGGAGGGAACGTGGCAGGAGGGCAGAGCTGTGGGTGAACACAGGGAAGGAGGAGGAGGTTCCCGGGGTGGGAGGGAGGTGGTGGGACTAGCACTGGTTGTTGGAGTCTCAGATGACCCCAGGGGTGGCGGGTGGCGGTGAATGTCAGGCAGGGTAGTGTGGGAGGAATGGATCCTGGCCTTGGGGCTTGGAGCTGGGGTCTGAGATCAGGCAGACCTGCAGACAGAGCTGGCAGCTGGAATGTGGGAATGGTGAGCGGGAGCCAGAAGCCGAGGATCTGCTAGCTTGCCTGGAAGCTAGCAGACCAGACAGGGAAGCTGCTGGCAAGGAGGTGGGGGGAACCCCTGGAAAAAGGTTGCATCACAGAAGGTGGGGGCCATTCAAGGAGCAGGGTGTCAGCTGTTTGGTGGCAGAGGAAGCATGCGGGCAGGGGCAGGGCTGAAGAGCACTGGAGGCAGCCTTCCTGGGGGGTGATGTGCAGTTTCAGGGCTGCCTTTGTTCTCCCTGTGGAGCAGAAGAGAGGCCTCAGCTTCCCAGGGCTTCTCCCTAACTGTCCCCACCTGGCTAGTTCTCTGTCCTTCTCTGTGACTCCCTGGCTGTCCTGACCTCTGTCTCTGACCCTCTCTGCAGGTGTCTCTTTCTCCTCCCCCCACCTCAGGCACACAGATGCCAGCTTCTCTCTCCTTGGGCACCTTCCCTATCCATTCTCTTGCTCATCTCTCTTTATCCCCCAAAGTCCTCATTAGAAGTACCACTTTATTAACTTATATTTCATAAAGTTTGATGCTACTGAAAATGCATTTAATAATAATGGTCTGGGGACTTCCCAGGAGGTCCAGTGGTTAAGACTTTGCCTTCCAATGCAGGGGGTGTGGGTTTGATCCCTGGTTGGGGAGCTAAGATCCCACATGCCTTGTGGCCAAAAAACCAAAATATAAAACAGAAGCAATATTGTAACAAATTCAATAAAGACTTTAAAAATGGTCCACATCAAAAAAAAAAAAATCTGAAAAAACAAAATAATAGTGTGAAGGTCCGGAGTGCATGAACTTCAGCAGGGACATACCTCTCTGATCTGCAGTTTCTTTTTCTGTAAAATGGGGGATAGTAACAGAGCTCAGAGGTGTGTGGTGCACATTTAATTGGTCATCCAGCATAGGCCTGGCCCTTTAGCTGTTGTGCAATCATATTAGCTACTGTAATACTACTCTTTTTCTCTTTCAAGACTGACTAGGTGCTTTGCATTGGGTTGGCGACTTGCTGGAGGACAGTGTAAGTTGTCAAGACACCTCCCCTCTTTCCCCTCCTTCCCCAGCCTGGAGTGACTCAAGCAGCCCAGCCCAGAACCTGCTCTCCACTGGGAGGTCCCTGATAGGGCGAGCCTGGCACCTGGCGTCCAGCTCTGAGAGCTGTCACAAGGGGGCACCAGTACACAGCTGTTCTGCACCCGCTTCCTTGCTCACTCTTCCCTCCCAGGATGGGTCCCTAATGAAGCTGACCTGAAGCTGGCCAAGTCTCAAAAGTCTCTGAAGCCTGAGGACAAAGCTTCCCATGCTGACAGGCTATGGCAGCTCTCCCTCCTCTGCTGCCTCAGCACAGCAGGATTGGTGCCCTGCAGCAGCCTGGGTACCAGCCTTTCACATGCTCTATAGGCCAGCCCAGCCTAACCTGTTGCCTTTGAAGCCTACCGACCAGCCCCTCAATTCCCCAAGGCTCTGTGCCCACCTCTCCCACGCCTCAGAGCCGACCATAGAATCACCCCATCACTGCAAAATCTCCTGGGGAGGTGGCCGGGGAGTAGCAACGTGGCAGAGACTGGGGGAAGCTGGTTGGCTGTGCAGTGGGAGGGCTTGTCCTCGCCCCTGCCTGTGCCACTGACCAGCTGGGCAAGTCTTTAACCTCCATCACCGGCACCATAAAATAGAAACAAATACACTCCCTGCCTTACAGAGCATGCAAAAAGCACTTGTAAGTGGGGAGAGCACAAAGGAATTTAAATGCTATAATAGTTCAAACTAATATTGGAAGAGACATTCCTCGGCCACATCTCTAAAGGGATGCTGAGCCTGCACTTAAACACCTTCAGCAACAGAGCACTCACTCCCTTCTGAGTAAGCTCGATACCAGCATTTACTGTCCTCTGGTTTCATGCCATGAGACGTGCCCTCCCAGCCACCCGTCATCTTCAATCTTCCAGGAGAGCCTGTGCATTAAAGAATATTCCTACTTCACAGATGAGCATATTGAGGCTCAGCATGGTTAAGGAGATGGCTTACTCCATTTAGTGATGGACCCAGATCTGTTTAATTAATTAATTAATTAATTAATTTAATTAATCTGTTTAATTAGTCTGTTTAATTCCAAAGTCAACCACCAGGTTACACTGCCCTCTGCTTGTGGGAATATTGGTCTTTTATTAAATGGAGTTGAATCTGAGGTTCAGGTTCCCAGGAGCACAGGTCAAGCCTTGTTGCCTCGGTTTCATGAAACAGTCCTTCAGGTTTGAAACTGTGGCATCCTCTACCTTGGGTGATCTCCCTTCTCCCTTAGTTTTCCCAGGAGGCTTCAAGAGCCGAGGCTCTTGAGCCAGCTGGAGCAGTACTCCTTTGGAAACCGAGATGCCCAGTGGACTCCACTATTCCCTTGGGCAGGAATGAGGCCCACACAGGTGTTGACAGCCTGGAGCCAAGAATCCTGAAAGTACCACAAGGGCTGCAGGCCCAGGAATCCAGGCACGGGGCCCCACCTGGGCTCCAACTCCTAACCATGGCCACCGGCCACTGGGAGCAAGTGGGGCAGGAAGAGAGGGGAAAGGTGAGAGTAGGGGGAGGAGGGCAGTCCAGCAGGGTGGGCTCAGGTCCCCGGAGCTCCTGCTCTGGCTCACTAGTTTCCTAGTTGAGTGACTTTTGCAAGATACTTCCTCTCTCTGGCCTTAGTCTCCTCAGCTGTAAAATGGGAGTCATAACATTGCCTTCCTCATGCAGTGGCGGTGATGACTTATGGAGAGATTGCATGTTTGGTTTGAGTTGCTGCCAATACTTCCTGCCCTTGCCGAGGAATCCTGAGGCCGAGATTCTCTCCCTACACTCCTCTCCTCTCTGTCACTTCCTGCTCAGATGACAAAGAGCACCCCGGCCCTCACAGAGGCCAGAGGCCGTGGCAGGAGAAACTCAAGGCCCTCATTGATGGCTGGGACTACTTCATCCCGCTTAGCGACCTCCCTCCCAGTCTTTGCACAAACTTGAGCTGCTCAGCCCACATCCCTGCATGCTCTTTCCATGGACCCCTTAACTGCCCTGCTTTCCCCTCCTCACCATCCCACTGCTCTCCAGAAAGCTGTCACAGATCTCTTCTGCACAGAGCACTTGACCCCCTCACTGAGGCCTGCAGTGTCGGGGTGTACCTCTCCAACCAGAGTGGCCATAAGCCCTGGTTTGCTGAGACAGTCATGGTTTATGTCTGTGTCCTGGCAAATTACTACTAGCGCAAATTTCCTACCTCTTCACTCTCCAAAGTGTCATTTGGTTGATAAATTATACGGCCACCCTGTAGATAAGTGATCACTGCGTGAATAAAAGTAGAGCATGCAAGGAAGTTGGTGGGTGTGGAGAGAGTAGGGATAGGAGTTGGGGAGATGTGAGGATTGTATCCCCTACTGGCATGGTTCTGTAGCTCCTATTAGAGGGTCTTGAGACCTTCCACTGCACAGACACATGGAGGACCTATAACGCCCATGGGAGGCCTTGGCCCTGATGCTTTACCAAGGGGCTGGCTCTGTGGCCAACAGAGAAGCAAGAGCTGGAGGGAAGGAGTGAAACAGGCAAAGGAGGGTCTCAGGCTTGCCTGCCTCACCATTTGCTGGGTCAGTCCCCCACCAAGAAGCATAAAAGTGGGCAATGTGAAAGGTGGATTTGGAGTCTAAACTCCAAGGCTACAGCTGTCAAGATCTCTTAAAACATGGCCCTGAGTGGAGCCCAGTAGAGGCTGTGGTGTCACCAATGCTGGGCACCCTCTTCTCTCACCTCCCTTCTTTTAGGCACCATATTTCTGTTAACGAAGCCTGTGATTTTGCTGGCTTTTTGGGAGGCGCTTAATGTGGCTGGCTCCCACGGGGCCTCCAGTCTCCTCCACCTCTACTTCTCTTCATGCAGGCTGCCATCCTGAATATGTGTACTTATTTAACTGGATCTGAGTACAATGGGTAGAATCCTATTACTGAGGGTGTACAAGCCATGGAGGGAAGACCAGTTTGTATAGGTGACTGTTCCAAAACCAACAGTCCATGACTATGTGAGCACCAACAGTTAGAAAGATTGTCTTTGGCTGCTGGTGGATGGTGTGGAAAACTAGAAAGCACAAGGGCATGAAAAGAATCCTGGGCTGGGAGTCTGGAGGTTGGGCCGACCCGAGTGACCTTGGGCCAGTCCTTCTAACTCCTGAATCCTAGGGCCTCTGTGTTTAGTGCTCTTCTAGCAATTGCTCCATTATGAAGTGAGGATTCCATGCCCAGCACCAGGCCAGAACTTTATGTGCAAGGTCTCAACCCACTCCTGGGAGGTAGGATCTATCATTATCCTCACTGGACAGATGAGGAAATTGAGTTTCTGCATTGTTGACATTTGCCTAAGGCCACCCACCTGGTTAATGGCAGAGCCATGATAGAGGTGAGGTCTGGTGATTCCAGGGCCATGCTCTTAACCACAGCACCACAGATGCGAGAGAATTCAGGGGTGCTCTTTCTCCCTCTCCAAGCCAAAAGATGGTAGGTGCCACGGTCCCCCACACCTCTCCCAGCAGCAGGGCTGGTAGGCCAATGAGCCACCCCTGCAGCCCTCGACATTGGAACTACCCCCTTAACATGGAGAGCATGGGCACAGCTGGACAAGGGAACCAGAGTCACCCACTGGTTGGCGACCAAGATGAGACTCAGGTCTTTGGAAGACATCAAGAAGGGCTCTCTGACAGGGAGGCTGGAGGTCTCTGGCGGCACCTGGAAGGAGTGAGTTTTCAGCGGGTGAAAGGAATTTGTGCACATCGGGCCACTTCCCAAGCTTGATCTCCAGACACTGGGAAGTCCCCCTGGTGGGGAGCCTAAGAGGGGCGGGGCAGGGGGCCTGTGGGCAGCATTTCCTCCTCCGCTCCCGCCTGCCTGCCCGATGTTCCTGAGCAGCAGGCTGCGCAGGTGAGGCCAGGCAGGGCCCTCAGCCCGGTGGGGACAGCTCGGGTATGCCGCAGCTGGGCCTGCAAGGTGGTGGGACTTACTCGGGTAGCGATAGTAGAATTCGTTGTCCAAGTCGCTGGAAATATTCCTGGACATCCTCTCCTCGATCCAGTGGGCGTCGGCATCCAGGTCATAGCGCACGAACACGCCGAAGAGGACCACCAGGGCCACCTGCAGGAGCAGGCAGATGACCGGCAGCCGCCAGCGGAGATTGGTGTTCCAGGCCATGCTGCAGGGGGCGCCTGGCCGGGACGGGCAGCAGGCAGTTCGGACGCTCGGAGGTGAGAGAGGCTTTTAAGACTTGGGCAGGGGCGGGGCGGCCGAGTCCGGTTGCGGAACAGCTGATCCGGGGGCCGTCCGCGCGCTCGCCCAACCGGCTCGCCCTCCGCCCAAGGGCCCCCGCTCTGGGGTGGCGGTGACGGTGGCGGGAGTAGGGACCGAGAGGGCAGAGGGCAGGGATTAAGGCGCCCAGCCTCTGTGGATCCCATAGATACCGGGCAGCACTGCCTTTCCTCTTCTGTTCCGGTGAACAGAGAAAGAAAAAGCCGATCATTTGCCTCCCACCGAGATAAAAACGAAGGCATTCCCGGGCATAAATCATCACCATCATCTTCATCTACATCTTCATCTTCTTCATCGTCGTGCCTTTCTTTTCCTGATTACAAAATTCACACAGGGTGCATGAAAAACCAGGAAAGTTCAAGAAACTGTCACAGACCAGGGAAGCCTGAAGAGACATGACAAATCAACGTGATGTGGTACCCAGGACTGTATCCTGGAACAGAAAGAGGATGTTAATGGGAAAACTGGAGAAACCCAAATAAAGTCTGAAGTTTAGTTACTAGTGTTGTACCCTCGTTGGTTTCTTAGTTGCGACAAGCGGTTATACAAGTTAGGAGGGACTGGGTGAGGGGTACAGGGGAATTCTCTGTACTATCTTTGCACATTTCCTGTAAATTAACATTATTCCCAAAGAAAAGGGCATTAAGAAAAAAATATATATAAGAGATTGTGGGAACAGTTTAAGAGTTTTTCACAAGTTCATTTAACTATGATCAGGAATTATCTGTTGGTTACTATAAGTGATCTTGATATGAGTCAAGATAGAATTTAACCTTGAAATTTAAGTTAAATCTTTGCTTAGTCCATATTTTGTCAAAATAAATTAGATTTTCTAATTTTTTAAAATATTGCTTTCTCTTTATTTTTTTTCACACACACACAGACTGTATTTTATTTTTACAAGAGATAAATCAACTGACACCAAACATTGTAAATGGATGACCACAACAAAAGCAACAATGATTGCAATTACCAAACACGAAACACACTCATACTATGTCATAATACTGACATTCAGTCTAGGAATCCTCCACCATAACAGCTCCTTTACTTTGCAGTGAAAATTGATTTGTATATTTTTTGCCTCTGAGTCCTTGTGGGATTTTTTTTTAAATTTTATTCAAACAGAAAGTCACAAAAATTATAATCATCCTCATCAGTTCACTCAGTCCGATGTAATTAATTTTTTTTATCTTGATCTTTTGTTAGCACTTTTATGAATTCATCAGTTAAAAAGAAAGAAAGAAAGAAAGAAAGGGAGGGAGGGAGGGAGGGAGGAAGGAAGGAAGGAAGGAGATTCTTCTGCTGCCTTTAGTCCCAGCTCGCCCCTGAACTTGGGGAACATGACCTCCTCAGTAGCATTTTGATGCTATTGCACTTTACTGAATGTCCCAGGGCAGCTGTCCTCTTCACTGGCTGCCCTTGGTCTTACTGGTGAACTGAGCTCTGTTTTTCCCTCGAGTGGCTAGCAGTTTCATTTCTGGTGCCCCTGGGGGGAAATGGCCACTGCTCCAAAAGCCTAGGGAAAATACCTCCTCCCAGAATAACTTCTCTCCAGCTAACATAAGGCCAGGCCAGCAGGCTGCCCCACCTCAGACAAGGGCCAGACTCTCTGCAGAGCGCCTGTCCTCCCAGGGTGATGGCAGGAGGATGGGAGCTCCCTCCCGGGGCCATTTATCCACTTTCTCCTCTCCTTGATCTACAATTCATTCATTCATTCATTCAGTCAGTCATTCACACACTCTT